ATAGTAGGAGTCTACACACCTTAAAACTTTCTTGTATTTTAACTTCTAGTAAGCTTATTTTCATGACTTTGTAGCTAAATTATTTTACTTTTTAGTAGAATTTTTGGTTTAAATGAATTGTGTTGTGATAATTTAACTTTAAAATTTTTGACTAGCAGACCTTGCAGTCGAATGTTGTTCTGCAGCAGTTTAATAATCGTTGCAAAAAAGCAAAAATTAACGGTCGATAAACAATAATAGAGTATGATTTTACAATGCCAAAACCTAAAGCATGTTTTTAATGCTAAAATTGCTGTAAATCGTTACTATCTTCTCCAAAAGAAAATATCTGTAATAAAAATAAAGCTATTAAGATGAACCAAAAAACAAATTATTGAGAAAAGATGCACCTTGATGATAAAGTGGATTTTAAATTATTTAATAATAATAATAATAATAATAATAATAAAGGACTTTATTTAGTAGAAAAGAAGAAATACATAAGTAATAAAAAAATCGATAACATTTTCCAACAATTGCCGTTCGACAGCAGGCGAAGTCTAGCAGAGATGCTATTCCACTTAATAATTTACTTTGTTAAATCATTCCACAGGGTGTTTCAAACTTACCAAAATATCAACATTTTGTTTTTTACTTGTATAACAGACACAATGATGACTAACTTTATGTTTACAAAAAATACTAAAAAGTCAAACATTTAGCAGCAAATTGCTTAAAAAATCATTAAAATCGTCGCTAAATATATTGAACTTTAAAATCCACGAAAATTTTAAGACTGCATCAAAGGCCAAAGTCTCTGTGTCTTACAAGTTACAGGTTGAGTCTTAAATCGTCATTTTTTCTAAAATGGCTGGTATATTCGTGTATCCAGTACAAATGAAATCCTAAAAGTCATTTTAGCAAATTTTTGTCATACAAACCCCGTTTTGTACTTAAGATCTCTCCTTAAGACGTTCTTTTTCAAAACGTAGCCTTAAAACTTCTGCAAATTTGTCCGAAAATACTCAGACTGAGCGATTCCCAAAATTTAACGCTAAATCAATCTTATTATCGTCACTTAAACAACTAAACAAAGCCCATACATAACAATAAATAACGAATGTTGCTTTTCTCGAAATTATCGCTCAGAAAAAAACTTTTTTAAGTTTCTCTTTCTTTTTAAGTGCTTTCAAGACTATAGGGGCTTCCCCGTAATACTCTTAAATCTAACCTCACTATTTGGGTACTCCAGCTAGGTCTCCTTCGTATTATATGAGAGAACAAGCTCAATGTAACGGGCAACAACTTGAGAGAGCAGATAAAATAGAGGATTCTTTGAAAACTTGTGCGCAAAATTGGGAAGCTTTCATAAAACGAAATGGAAGCACGTGTGGAACTCGAACACCTTTCTGAGCCAAAGGACTGACTTACTTTATTCATCGTCGTGAAAAGAAAAGCAACATTTTAAGGTATCTAAAATGAGCCACTCCGTGATTTCATAAATGCACTCACCTGCACGAAAAATGGACACCTCAAAATTGTCATGTGTTTTAAAGTTGAATACATTTTGATGATTTTTTAACCAATTTGTAGCTAAATTATGTGGCTTTTTAAACTCTTCTTGTTAAAAATTGAAGTCCCTGTCTGTCAATTATAGGAGGGAAAATAAAATGTTATTTTGGTGAAAGTTTGAAACATTCTGTGAAATGGTTTAGCAAAGTAGGGAATTTAAAAACTATCCTCAAGACGCATCTTTGTATCATACTCAGTTTATTTTTTTATTCATCTCAATAGTTTTCTTTTTGTTGGAGATATACCAATTTACCTTTTATTATATTATCTTTTATTATTACCTTTGAAGTAGATAGTCAAGATTAATAACAATTTTAACCTTAAAAATATCTTTATTACTTTTGGACCTAAATACACATCTATTAAATTAAGGGGTATTACCAATTACGGAAATGCTATTACCATTGTATTTTACCCATTTTTTTGAATTTTAAATACGTTACTTTGTTAAATCATTCTACAGGGTGTCTCAAACTTTCCCCCAAAAATATCAATATTTTATTTTTCCCTTGTAAAATAGACAGATGAGAAACTGTTACGGTACTTGAATTTAATTTAAACAGCTTAAAAAGTCAAATAATTTAGCTGTATATTGCTTAAAAAATCATCAAATTCGGCCAACTAGAACAAAATATATTCAATTTTAAAATACATCAAAATTTTAAGGTGTCCGATTTTTTACCGATCAGTGTATATTATTATTAGGGGGCATCCATTAATTACGTGTGGGGATCAAGCCTAATCTCACGTAGAGGAGAGAGAGGGTTTCGGTAAATATCACGTAATCTTTTTCAGTCAAAAATAATGTAAAAATATGAGAAAATCTGATTTATTTAAAATAAAACACGATTCTAGATTAAAATATGCTGAAATCTGACAGAAGTCTTCTATAGTTCCCATTCCATGAATTATATTCCATAATGTCATCTATACAATCTCAAATTCCAGTCTTTACTAGTCTTAATTAAAATAGTTGTGTTTACGAATCCAACGGATTTAAGCCTCAATCTGGACATCAAAATTATACTTTATACTTCAAAATTTACGATCATTCACAATGTCTAAAAATTACAATTAAAATTATTAGAATATCCTAGCAACAGCTTGCGGTAGCCAGTTGCATCCCTAGAGAAAACCTAATAATTAACTTATAAAACAATAAACTTCTGTTCTAACCACAATTTCTCTTGACGCGTAATAATCAAAGACCAAAATGACTTTATTGCCAACTCACAATTAAATTTTGAAAGAACTCACGTGAGATTATAAACGGAGGAGAAGGTCCATGCAAATCTCACGGCATCTCATCAGGGGGTAGAAGAATCAAAAAATCTTCAAAAACCTCTCATCTTCCTCTCACGTACTTAATGGACGTCCCTTTATAATTTCAACTATGGAGAGTAGAGGTAAGGAGAATTATCTTCGTGTATTCAAAAGTGGTAATGAAAGCTGGAACAATTAAGATGGCGCTGCTGTAGCGAAAGTTCTACATTTGAAAAAAGCGCCAAAAAAGTTTAGGACAGGAAATAATTAAAAAAAGAATAACATGCGATTTATGAAGGAGCGTATTGACTACCTTATTTATGCTCAGACGCAAAAAAAGAAAAATATTTAGTGTTATATATTTTTTATTTTTTGCCCTATTTCCTTTGATTTATTTAGAAAACTGTATATAAATACCTATATTAACTTTAATTCGTAAACTCAATTTATTATAAACTTTAGTAGTTGACTTATTATACAGGGTTAATCAAAGAGTTGTTTTTACCCTATCTTTAAAACACCCTGTGCAATACTTTCGTGAGCAAATTTTCCAAAAACATTATTTTTCGGTCAGAACCATGCCTGAATATTTTGTTTTTTGACTCACGGTTCACTTGGTTAATTTTTAAGAGCAAAATGAACGTACTACAAACATTTGCAATTTTTTCAATTATCGTTATTTTTTATGTTATTCTTAATAATGACGAGGTGGCTCTGGCGATTATTGTTGTGCACGATTGAATATGGTTCTTAGTATCGCAGATTGTGTAAAAGTCATTGATCTTGTTGAAGATGGCCAAAATTATGAAATTATTGAAAAAGCCAACATTATTGAAAAAGAATGGTAAAACATAACACAATATATTTGCAGCCTCATTAACAGTATCAACCGACGTCTACAGACAGTTACAGCTGCCGGGGGCAATACAAAGGATTAGAGTATTTTTTATAATTTTTTTGTTTGTACACTTAGATATTACAGTTATTTTTCTAAAATCCTTAGTTCTGTTAGTGTTACAGAACTAAGGACTTAATAAAATTTATTAAAACCAAGCCTGTATCGTTGCTTTTTAACGTTTTTTAATTTTAATATAGAGTTCTGATCAGTGTCGATATGACATTACGACAATAGACACCAAAACCACCTCGTGATATTAAAAATAACATCATAAAGTAACGCCCAATGACTAAAGAATATAAGGACATGTAACGCCCATATACGGGCTGCAGCAGAATTTGTGACCTTCGAGGCCATTCTTTTGATGGTAAACAAGTCATCATTTGGTCACCAGCGACAATTTAGCGATTTTTAATAGTTTGTGTGTAGTAAACTTTCTATAAACTTTATTACAATGGTGATTAGTTATTCAGCTTTCAAGTGTAAAAGCAGCAGCGATAAGAATGAGCCAGGAGCTACGTTTCATAGGTAAATAAACAGTTCACTCCAACTTTTTAGCGTTTTCTACTGAATTCGATAATTATTCTTCAACTTCAATTAACATCTATATGTACTTGATATGTGCTATACGTCGATACTAGTTTTGTACCTTTTGTTGACATTTTATTACGTTTTTTTCGTAATTAATTAGTATCAACCAGCTAGGTTAAGAAAAATATGTGCCACGGCACTGTTTGGTGACATCGGCACATCTTGCTCTCGGGTGTTATTTGTCCTTGGATTTTTTAGTCATTGGTAACGCCAGTTGAAAAAATTGCAAATTGTTGATGGCAAGTTCATTTCGCTCTTAAAAATTAACCAAGGCATGTGTTGACATGAGTCAAAAAAGAAAATGCTCAGGAGACATGAGGATTCTGATCGAAAAATAATGTTTTTTAAAGTTAAGATAAAACAACCCTTCAATTAAGCATGTATAATAAACCAAATACTAAAGTTTATAAAAAACTGAGTTTATAAATTAAAGTTGATAAATTTATATACAGTTTGCTAAAAAAAATCATGAAAATAGGACTAAAAGTAAAAAAAAAATAAAACTTTAAACTTAAAGAAAAAAATGTGCGTTGCGTTTTTTAGCACCACTGTGGCAATTTAGTGAACCCTTATTTCCACTTTTAGTCCCATAGAGATGATTCTCCCTTACCACTACCTTCCATAGCTTCAATTTAATCGCGATTATTATATTATTACACAAAAAATTCTTCGACGCAAAAGAAAGATTACAATAACCTTTAACTTATTAATGCTTTATATTTATTGTCAATTATAATTTCGGTAAATCATTTAAATCATTTCTAGGTAATATCGACGACATCGTGTATTGGAGAGTGACCCATATTGAAGAATGTCATTAATATACAATAAGTTAATTTATACAGTAATCAAAATAGAACTTTCCTAGTGCAAGACCATTTGTGTGTAATTAATTAATTCGTAAACGTAGCTTAAAACTGTTTAAAACTAAATTATCGAGGGTAGATCACGGTGTGTAACATGTTCGCAAATCAATCTTGCACTAACGCCACAAAGTTTTATTTCGTTCTACCCTTCACCGCGTTTTGGATATTAATTGCTCGAACCCCGACAAGTTTTTTTTTGTTTAGTAAAATAGGGCCGCTTCCGCTCTTCTTCTGGTAATTTCTTTACATAAATGGCAGCATCCTAGCTAAGTGCATCAGTAACCGCAACGAGTTTGACCACATCCGCCGCAAGGGAGCATACCTGGACAAAAATAACAAACATAAAACACCCTCTACATTATCCCCAAAATCTTTCACGAAATACTTCTGGAAATATTTTTCGTAATTCGTGAATTATTAATTACAATAATTATAAGTAAAAATATATTTCCAAAACTTAAAATCGTAAAACTACAGGGTAACAGTGACTAACTATTCTGGAGGTCCGCCTTTTATGCAGTGTGACTCACTCAAGACCGGACACCCTCCATAAAATCTGTGTTTATAGTCCGATTTTGATGATTTTTTTTTCAAATATAAAGTTTCAAAAAATGTACTTTAGGGCTCAATGTCATGTTATTTCACAAAAAACAAGGCCTACTTAATAAAGTTTTTGTGGTGAAAAATTTGCAAAATCATATTAGCGATTTTTTTCAAAAATTTGAGTACACCCCTACATTCGGCATCCCCAAAACAGTTCTGTACCAAATTTCGTTTAAAAATATTAATTATTAATAATTCTGCAGTTAAATTAAATAATTCCCTATTTTTGCCAATTTAACGATGAGTTATCAAGTAACCCTTGAAAAAACAATCCACGATAACGAGTTTTATTACAAACAATGATAAAAATACTACAAGCAACACAATAACCGAATAATAAGTTAAACATATTCAAATAATTCTAGTTGCTTCTACCAGCCCTCCATTCAGTTCAATACATTTGTCGCATCTTTTTCTTAGATTTACAGTTACATTCCTAAGCTGCTGTGGTGTAATATTTGCAGAAGCCTCTGTAATTCTAATACGTAACTCATCTACAGATTGAGGTCTAGACTTGTAAACTTGTTGCTTTAAGAAACCCCAAAGAAAGAAATCAAGGGGTGTTAGGTCCGGGGATCTCGGTGGCCACCAATTAGCGGGCTATTTCGACCTATCCACTTATTTTCAAAATTTTCATTTAACCATTCCCTGACAACTGCCGCGTTATGCACAGGTGATCCGTCCAATTGAAATTTTAAATTCAAACGGGTTTGGCATGGTAAATTATGTATTGCATCCCAAAAGTCATTAATCAGAAAATTCAAAAACGTTGGACTATTCAAATTTCTCTCAAAAAAATATGGACCAATGATTCTATCATCAAGTATGCCACACCACACATTTAATTTCTGAGAATACTGTCTTCTTGTATTGATCACCCATTCAGGGTTTTCGACTGCCCAGAATCGCGAATTTTGAGAGGATACTACTCCGTTTGTACTAAATGTTGCCTCATCACTAAATAAAATTTCTTTTAAGAAATTTCTATTATTTAAATACTCTGCTTGAGCCCATAAGCAGAATTCTAATCGTCTAACATCATCTCCGTTTTCCAAAGTGTGTAAAATCTTTGGTTTAAAGGGTTTAACTTTATTAGTTCGCAAACATCTCCTAATATTTTCCCTTGGTATATCCAAATCAACACTGGCGCCTCTAATGCTTGCACGAGGATTGTTACGAAAATATTCTAATATTTCCTCATTCCGCCTATTTATTCGATGTTCCGGCCTTCTGTTTTTTAGTAAGTATTTTGACACACAACCAGTTTCATTAAAAACTCTATTTATTCGTTGAACCGTGCTTCTACTTACTGCAGGTCTGTCGGGATGTCTGTTGTTAAATTCTCTGGCAGCTTCTCCTGCTTGAAGATAGTTATCACCCACTAAACGAATAATTTCAATTTTATCCCTAATATTTAATTGTTCCATAATGCAAATAATATTTCTTGATACAACACTTTTCTGCGTGCTATTAAATTAATATTCAATTCTACGCTGCAAGAATTGACAGCTAATAAAACCCATTGTTGTGGATTGTTTTTTTCAAGGGTTACGTGATAACTCATCGTTAAATTGGCAAAAATAGGGAATTATTTAATTTAACTGCAGAATTATTAATAATTAATATTTTTAAACGAAATTTGGTACAGCCGAATGTAGGGGTGTACTCAAATTTTTTGAAAAAAATCGCTAATATGATTTTGCAAATTTTTCACCACAAAAACTTTATTAAGTAGGCCTTGTTTTTTGTGAAATAACATGACATTGAGCCCTAAAGTACATTTTTTGAAACTTTATATTTGAAAAAAAAATCATCAAAATCGGACTATAAACACAGATTTTATGGAGGGTGCCCGGTCTTGAGTGGGTCACACTGTATACAGGGTGGTCCGAACTGTATTCCTGAAACTTCGGCAGCATATTCTGCAGATAAAAATAAGTAAAAAAGTTCGTATAAATGTATGTTTTAAAATGCTTCGTTTCGGAGATACAGTATGTAGAAGTTTCATTTTTATTTCGATTTTTTCCAAATAATTTATGAAGTAACCTCAATATTTGGATGAAAATTGGTGACTGGGAGTTTTTTGACATGGGAAATTTGATTTTGATGTCAATACGACTCCTAGTTGTAGAGGGCACCACCTACATATTTTTTAACTGGTTTGAAGAGTAATTATTTTTTCGTTCATACCTGCATAAAACTACTGAGTAAAAAATATACATTTACGACATTTTTTACGTAAAAAAGGTCTCTATCGCTACGAATAATGTTTCTGGAGATATTTGAAATCGAAATTATCAATACCTGTCATCATTGACATAAATTAAATGTTGATTAAATAGTAGACATTTAGTAAATTTGAAATATTTTTGTGCCAAAAGTTCAACAGTAACTGTTTTATCATCATTTTTTCGCAGAAAAATTCATGATTAATTAAAAAAAAAATTCCCAAATTTATTATTTCAATCAAATTAACTATTTACTCAACGTATTTATTTTCTGTCAATAATGACATGTATTGACTATTTCAATTCTAAATATCTTGAGAACGGTTGCTCGTATCGATTTTTACCAAGAGACATTTTTTACGTAAAAATCACGGAAATGTATATTTTTTCACTCGGTAGTTTTATACAGGTACGGACGAAAAGTTATTACTCTTCAAAACAGTTAAAACATATGTAGGTGGCGCCCCCTACAAATAGGAGTCATATTGACATGAAAATAAAATTTCTCATGTCAAAAAACTCCCAGACAACAATTTTCATTCAAATATTGACGTAACTTCAGAAATTATTTGAAAAAAAATGAAATAAAAATGAAACTTCTGCACCCTGTATCTTCGAAACTAAGCATTTTGCAATATACATTTATACGAACTTTTTTACTTATTTTTATCTGTAAAATGTGCTGCCGAAGTTTCCGGAATACAGTTCGGACCACCCTGTATAGTAACCTATAAAAGCAGACCCGGCCACCCGTTGCTGTGGCTAAGGTCAGTGATGGGATATTGAAATTTGGGTAAATACCCAAGTTTTTGCACCCGGTATATACCCAAAAGGTCAATAAATAGTATACTGAATTTAGGTTAATACCGTTATACTCGGTTATGCCCAATCGTACCCACGTTTTTAATTTAAGGTATTCTAACAATTTTTAAAAACAATTTGTTGTTAAATTAAAATTACTAAACTATTAATATCGCTATTAAAAAATAGGGGTTGATGGTAGAAGGGTGAAAATTTAGGGTTGCATGTATCTTTTTAATGTCACATCAAAAATAAAAATAAAAAATGCTGTCTAAAAAGTAAATAGTCTAAAAAATTGGGGTGGGCCACCCTTATACCACAGAATATCTAGCTACGCAACAGAAAAATACTCGAAATGAAAGAGCTAAAATTGCACAAATAGAATACTAGATGGCGCGACAATATCATAATCAGAATATAATTAGAAATTTTGAACTTTCGGTTTTGGATCGACGGCTCGTCGACGGCCTTATAGCTCGGCTAAATATGCACAGTTGCCAGATTCAAAAGACTTGAATTGGCATCCCATTCTTTTTACTGTGTATAATGCAGTATGTGTTTCTTTATATTCTTCTTTTCTTGTCAGATACACTTATATTAATTATTCCTTTGGCTATTAAAATAGTTTTAAGTATATTATTACAAAACATATACATTTTTAATATACACTACCTTATAATGTTAACTAAGAAAATACCTTTAATTACCTTAAAAATTAATAATATACAGGGCGATTGATAGTGATATTTATTAATGCTGGAACGTTAGTAATGAAATATAAGTTTAATAATAATGGAAATAATTTATTAAAATGCAGTACAAAAAATATTAACTGACTAAAAAATACTATAATAACAAATTTCTTCCGTTTGCCACGTTATTTATATAGACCTAGGTAGATTTTAAAAAGTGACACAGGTACAATTAATAATATATTAGTTCAACATAAAAGTTGCCGTCACGATATCGAACAATACATTAAAATTCGTAAAATAAATTAAAATTATTAATTAAACAAATCTTTATAAAGAAACGCAAGTATACCAAATTTGGGCCCAATCGAACTCCAGGAAATTATATCATAATAGTGTACTATATTATGGTACCATTTGATATGCTTTAAGGTACCATAATATTGCAATGTCACCGAAGATCCGTAGTATACCAAGTTTAAGCCCTATTGCCGCCATGTACCTAATATTGCTATGTCATCAAATATGGTACTATAGAAGGTACCACTTTATATGCTCCATGATACCACGATATTACAATGTCACTGAAGATATAGTATACCAAGTTTAAGCCCAATCGAACGCCATGTATCGTAGTATAGTACTATATTATGGTATCACTTGATATGCTTCTGAAAAAAACGGCGTCCAGTTGGCTGGAAAAGGACGATCGATGACATTTCCCATATAAATTTACATATAAAATGACTGACAATATGAACTTGGTATGAACACAATCGAACGTCAGGAAGTGGTATAATAGTAGAACAATACTTATTATATTGTCGCCGAATTACAATGAAAATTCAGGATTCAATTATACAATTAAACGTCAGGAAGTGATTGTAATTTAGCTCATAAGTTTTAATTCCAACTAACATGGCAAACTGAAAAAAACAGCTCTGATCTATTTTAATATGTTTAAATGATGTAGCAAATTTGAAGGTAGGCTTTATCAGGAAGTATTACGATACGAATTACACAATGGCAACACTGCACAAAATTCTTTTAAATTTTGTTTGTAGAAAACTGTTTTCTTTTAAATTTATTGCCCTCTATTATTAAGCAGCGAAACTACCACATCAAAATATCTGATTTGGAGACAGACTTTTAAAGCCTGTCTCCTTTTGCTACCTACAATTTTATACATGTAACGAGGCTTCTGTTGCGTAGCTAGATATTCTGTGCTTATACTTAGGGGTATAAAAAATAGGTAAATACCTATTCTCAGACCTACTGAATATATACATATAAAATTTAATCAAAACCGGTTAAGTCATTTCGGAGGAGTATGGTAACACAAAGTTTAAAAAAACCCTTTTAAAAAATAGGGGTTGAAGGTAGAAGGGTGACAATTTAGGTTTATATTGTTAAACTTATCGGAAAATGCGATGCTTTAACAACAGCAAAAAATATGACGTATATGACAAAAAAAATGAAATTGAAACTGTATTACCATAGAAACGCCTTTTGATTTTTATGAAAATGCAACCATACTTTCATGTTTTTTTTTTTAATTTTCTCTAAAATGGAAATTTGGAAAAATATAAATGGGTTAACTATTTTAGAAGATAGAAAAATATTTACGAAGAATGCATTTTTCTCAATAATAAAACGTTTTTTTCCTCTTTTAAAGACAATCTGGGGACATATTGTAGAATATAAAAGTTCTATATTCCGGGCAACCACTATCAAAAAAAAGTTACCTGAGCGTCAAAAAATGCCAAGTCATCAATACACTGATTATTTGTACGAGACGGTACACTATATACAGCCTAGATATCTGCTTGCGCGCTTTCGGAATCGAAGAAGTGTCTTCTTTGAAGATAAACCTGCAAGTAAATGAAATACAATGTTAATATTATAGGAAGATAACAAAAATGTTGTGAAAATTTACCTTCGGATACCTAATACGTAATTTTCTAAAAACTGATTCCAATCGATTTTGGCCACGTCGAACTGAAATTCGATTCGGTCAGCTTCGCTCAACGTTTGACTCAAGTCTTTGACGTTCGAGTCGTCGAATTCCCATTCCCGCGTCGTGAAATACTCCAGACAAGTGGCAGCCTTTTGTAATTTGTTCTGGATCTTTATCATACTGCAAAAGAATAATAAAATACATTATTGCAATAATTTCAATATGATTATTAAACATCTATAGGTTATAAATATAACAAATATTACGGTTGAGGGTTGGAACCTTTGGTGTTACAACATCAAAATCAAACACTAATTCACCACAATACACTAAAATACTTTCCTTTTACATTAGACGAGCGTTTTGCTAACCATATTAAAAAATAGGGATGATTAAAACAGCAGATGATTAAAACTAAACTAGTTTCTATTGTCTGTCCAACGAGAAGATCCTTGACAGTGATAGATGTGTCTGTCATTTTAATTTCAAAATAGTTTAGTTTATTTTACAAAGAAATAAGTTGGTACAACTGGAACGCATAGCAGGAAATTATTATATTTAAAATTTGACTGACAAGTGATTACTTCAAAATATTGTGAAAAAAATTGTATAAAACTGAAAAAATGTAATCGAGTTATTTAATTTAATAAAAAACGGTATGTGTTAATACAAAACAAACAAGAACAAGACACCACATACCAAAAAAATATAAAAAAGAACTATTTCTTACTTTCAAGCTTTATGAAACTTCCCGCATTTATGATTATATATTTATCAATATAACTTATGTACAAATACAAATTTGTAATATTCCGCAGGAATAAATAAAACAACATAAATAAAACAGACTATTTTATTATTAATAACACTTACCAAATTTTATGGGTACCTTAAAAGTTGATTAATTAACTTTAATCTTAATTTTTTTAAACCAGTACCTTTGGCATTATTTTTCTTGTGCAGTACTAAAATCCATTATTTACGTATCGTATACTCCAGTTTTTAGTATGTGTTTAGTAGTTCTTCTACTATATTCTAGATGCACTTATCTACGACGAGATGGTATACGAACTTTAATGATAGTAACTTTATTGGTGTATAAGACTTTTTGCCTGGGCAGCGAGTATTAACCATAAACTGTGCTCTGGGTCTACAGTTAATTTTCACTCGATTTTTCGTCCACTTGACTTCAAAAGATACAAAACACACGTAATAACACGAATCAAAATGCATCATCTTCCAAAACGCAGGGTATTTGACAAAACTGACAAAAGTTGACACAAAATTATAATCTCTAATTTGGCAAGACTTTGAGGGTGCAGCCACACTATCCTAAAAACGGCGTATCGGCGTAACGGCGTAATGACCGTGAATATATTTCCAGTAATTCTATTGGCTGAAACATTCATCTGTCAGAAATTTTATCTGTCAAATTCATCTGTCAAAAATTTCAGCCAATAGAATTACTGGAAATCGATTCAAGGTCGTTACGCCGTTACGTCGATACGCCGTTTTTAGGATAGTGTGGCTGCACCCTGACAAGCGTCAAAAATCTAAAGGCGAGTTCATACGCATCGGCGTCCGTTTGTCGTTCATCGTTCCGTCAAACCAATAAAATTGAAATACGATCTGTCATTTTTGAAATAAACCAATAAAACTGGTTAAAAACAACAAGAGACGCCGCATGACGGATTTATATTTAAACCCATCCATAGTTAACTTAAAAATTATTAGAAACTTTTTTTAGTAAAATAAATAGATTGGTATGGGACGTCATCTGCTTTTCTTCTGTCATCGTCTGTCGAAATCTTACCCGAGAAAAAAAACAGAGTATACAAATTGAGCGTTTATATAGGCGCACAGTTGGCACTGGACTAGGCATGGCAAAACCAACCGAGCTTAACAATTAATTACCGAAACTAGAGGAATAGAAACAGATAACTGGAAGGATTTGGACCATTATCTCCGTTCATACTATCTTTACATTTATTAATTTTGACGCTCTCATATGCACCTAATTGCCTGTAATATGAGACTTGTTTAATTAATTTTAAATAATCAGTATATATCGAATGATCTTTATCAACAATATGTTAAGTAACGCAAGATTTATCCGGTCTACCATATCTTATCTGAGCCATATTTTTCTTTAAATCTACTTAATATTGATCTTCTAGTTTGCCCAATATATTTCTGATTGCAATCTCAAAAATCTCAAAATCTCAAATACCCGACCTTTCCAGTGGAGGTGTTTTATCTTTAGGATTACCTAATTATTAGCATTATCCACAAGTTTATAATTGATAGCGATGGGAACTATCGAATGAATTAGACTATCGAATGGTTACTGAATGAATGATTTCAACTTTCGAATGGTTTTATTCGAATAAAATCATTCATTCATTTGTATACTAAAGCATATGTGACAACCTCGCCGTGCAACTAAATGGTTATCGTTGAGCTACGACTATCGAATGCTTTTGATAAATGAAATTTAGTATTCGTTTGACTTTTGTGTGCGTCAGTGCATTATTAGTTCTTCCAAATTTTTATAACTGCACCTTATAAATACTGTGCTATTTTTGCGTTTATTAAAATATTTAAAATACTAAAATAGTAGTTTTTTTTAATTGACGATTGTGTGCGTGTGCAGGTGTCAAAATTTTTCCGATAATTTGTGTGATTTTCCCGATCTTTCAATTATTTTATTTTATATGGTATATATGGTCTATTTTTTAATGGGAAATTTTGAGAAGTAGCAATTTTTAAGAGAGATGAGATGAACTTAGAATTAATTTTAAAAATACATATTTGTATTTTAGATGTTTTAATAATATGAATTAGTTGAACTTAATAATCATATATATTTAAGTAATGTGGTTAAGTAAATGTGGTTATCGAACTCAAACTATGGGGTGTGAAAATTAAATTGAAAGTTTTACACGTGCCAATTTAAAAAAAGTTAACGATGTTTGTATTTTGTTTATGCTAATTCTCTTACATGTAGTTTTTTGCAAAGAAATATTTCATTTATTTTTAAAGTAAATGCCAGTAAAAGTAAATATTATTTTTAAATAGTAATATAAAGTACCTAATATAAATAATTTTGATTTCTAATTGTTTATTTATATTTTCCTTCCATTACACTGCATGCTTAGAAAATTAATAAATGTTTATATTTCATGATTTTAAAGTTTGTTGTTAATATAACAAATTAGTTCTGTAATTATTATTATTTAATAAACCAACGTTGCCACAAACAATTTAAAGACTATATTATTTTTAAATAGGATCTAATATAAATCATTTTGACATCTAATTTGTTGTTTATATTTTGCTACTACGTAAAAAAAATGGTTATTTTAAATTATTTTAAATTTTGTTGTTAATAGGTATAACAAATTATTTCTGTTATTATTATTTTTATTAAACCAGTCTTTACTTAAAAACATTAAAAATTATTTTCCTACATCCAAAATAACAAGTATTATTGCAGTGTAACAAAAGAATATTAATAAAAAAAAATGCAAAATATATAGACATACTATCCCTAACTAACTAAAGCCAAACAATAATATTCTTTGCTAATATCAACTAGTGATGGGTTGTTATTTAACTATCTGTTATTTTATAACAATTATTTATAAATAACATAACGCAACCGTTACTACTTTTAAAAAATAACAGATATAAAATAACGACACGTAGGCCGCTCGTGAAAGGAAAAACGAAGTCGGCGCTCTGCATCACCACGAAATTCTATGCTGCTCGAAGCAATTCCAAAAAACAACTAGTATGGATGGAAAACATGTTATTTCGTCAACCATCGATACAGGCGGCGAGACAACGGACAACGGAGTGGGGAAAGCGCTACGGCGAACGTAGCTGCTTCGGTCGATACCGTCAATGGTCGTATTTACAACAGCTTAAAAATAATAGGATATAAAAGAAGCAGGTTTTTTGAAACAGTTGAGGGCATAACGCCTGGCGGTGGAGATAACAGGAGTGGGAAAGGAACGCTGCTGCATCGGTCGATTGTCGATGGAGGCTCGCAACGGGTTGGAGAAGCAGTCATTTTAGATATGTTGTTTTTCAACCTGTTACAAGTATAACAGGGCGGCGGACGAGATAATAGGTGTGGGAAAGGAACGCTGCTGCATCGGTCGATTGTCGATGGAGGTTCGAAACAGGTTGGGGAATAACGCATCAGTTGTTTTAGATACATTCTGTTTCAACCTGTTACGAGCATAACGGACGGAGGTCGAGATATTATGGCGCTGTATGTTCAGTACTTACTTATTAAGTTTCAATATTTAGGTATATATTTATTCTGAAAACTTTCAGAATAATATTTTAAGATTTTTAAAAATGTATACAGGGTGTTTTGAAAAATCTGGTCATTGATTAATCACGATCCTGCTTAAAGCCCTTGACGTAAAAAGCTGATTTTTGGAAAACAGATTGACTTTAGTGTGTAGAGGTTCGATAAGAAGGGATTTTTCGAAACTCGAATTCTAAGGGGGTGAAACTACTCTGAAATATTAGAATATTTTTTATTTAAAAACCGGTGAGTTTCTCGGAAAAACTCTTAAAACACGTATATTTTAATATGTTGTTTTACATATTTTAAGATTTTTTAAAAATATATACAGGGTGTTTCATAAAATATGACCATTGAGTAATCACTATTCTGCTTAAACTGCTGGACGTTTAAAGCTGATTTTTTACAAACGGATTGACTGTGGGGTTGAGGTTCGATAAGGAGGGGTTTCTCGAATCTCAAATTCCAACAGGGTTAAAACGCCCCTCAAATATTACAATATTTGTTATTTAAAAAACGGTTAGTCTTTCGGGAAAACGCCTGGACACGCATAATTTATTTTGTTTTTTTTTACATATTTTGAAATTTTTTAAAAAATCATACAGGGTGTTCCAAAAAGTTGAGTAATTGATTAACCACGATTCTGCTTAAACTGCTCGACGTTAGAAAGCTTATTTTTGGCAAATGTGAGAAAATTTTATCCAGTTTGTATGTTAATGGAAATTTTGTTTTGCTTTATCATCACCATTAGAAATTATTAATTCGACGCGAACGAAGTCGCGGGTACACGCTAGTTTAAGTGTAAAATTAATTCGAACTCTAGTGTGTAGTTGGTTTACTTATGAAGAATATACTACACATTTTCTTATATTGCTATTTTTTGACCGCAAATGGTAAAATCATAACTAAGAGCTTCTCGCCCGTCGAGTGAGATGCACCCTATACACTGCTACGCAATTCAGGATCTACGCGGATCGAGGGGCAGGGCGTAGGTATATACTATAGACGAGTGGCCAAATTTTGGTTTTTTTTATATCGCAATTTGTAAACAGCGCTTATTTGTAAATAACCACCGTTTTTAGAGAGGTATTTTAGATAACAATCGATATTTAGAAATGTTTTGACACCCTGGAAATACTACCACTGAGCACGTCATTGTTGCAACTTGCAACTGCGTTAATACGCCTGGCGATGACCGTCGCATACTCTTTCAGATATTTAGCAGTAAAATAAAGAAAACTGTTATTTTTAAGCTGTTATTTTAAGCTGTTTTTTATAAATAACTATAACAGTTTCAACTGTTATCTAAAAATAACAGTTTTGCCCATCACTAATATCAACTAATACCAATATATGGCAACAGCGCCCTTCATAATGTATTTTCTGTGTAAATACTAGCACCTCAATAAAAAAATAATGTGTCCTTATCTTTATATGACTCCGCAAAAAATCAAAGATGCCGGCTTCTTTCATAGCATTGCCACTAAGATTGCCACCGACCGCCTGTCGGGTTTCTCGGAAAGAAACCTACGTCGCCGGGCGACAACTAAAATCCAGTTAATATTTTATTATAATGGATCCTGACGAATAAATGAATTTCATAAATGAATGAATTTTATAAATGAATGAATTTTATAAATGAATGAATTTTATAAATGAATGAATTTTATAAATGAATGGTTTTTGCTGCCGAATTACTAGAATACAATATTTCAAGGCAGATGACGCATCTATTAGATAATTTTTATTCGAATAGTTTTCAACAAATGTTTTTTTACTAGCTATCGAATTATTCGAATGAATTGCAACTATCGAATGTATCGATAGTATTCATTCGATAGTTCCCACTACTAATAATTGATATTCTTAAAAAATCTTTTTAAACCACAGGATAACTCTATCAAACGGTATTGAAATATATTTTAACCTATCTTTCTCCACTTAAAAATGCTCGATTTGTAGATGTTAGTTTAGTTTTTAATCATCTGCTAATGGTGCTAACATGGTTAGCGAAACGAACGTCCAGTGCCAAAGAAAAGTGTTTTGGTGTATTGTGGTGAATTAGTTGTTAGTAATAATCTAATCTCATGTTTCGCAATATTTTCATTTTCATTTTCTTCTCCTCTTCATCAAGTATAAAATTTAGCATACTTTAGATTCACAATTTAATACACTGTAACTTCAGTTGTATATTTTCTAAAAAAATATACCTGATAACTCAAAATCGTAATCACATCAAGGCTTTAAATCACTTATGAAAATCACAGTATCCGCTGTCACGACACTCTGCATTAGCTATAGCCATAGAACAGTATGGAAGTCGCGATCACGTCACTGTTTTAAATCGCCGGTATCACAAAAATCACGGTATAAGTTAACAGTGATTTAAAAATAACGGTGTCGCTAATCTTTAATACCTATATCTATTTTTTGTAACTTACATGGGCCTGCCTCCCGTCAACCATGTCACAAAATCCATGACGTAAGCTGGCGCGAAATGCAATAAATACTGATTGATGGTGTTGTAGGCTCTGGACGACGTCACCGTGCCATCGGGGTACCAATTTACCTGCGACAATGGATGCGTTCGTAGGTTCGAGAAACAGAGTTGAACAAACGTTTCCCAGGTGATCGGTTTCCTCTGACCTGGTAGAAATCAAATAATAAATATTGGTTATTGATTGTATTACATTTACGTAGTTATACTAAGTCACATTAGACAAAGATTGATTAAAATGGTAGTAGACCGAGCTTGGAGAACGATGCAGTCGTTATCGATAAAATAGTTGCGTGTTTTATTTATTTTTTATTGTTTTACTTCTTAATTATTTAGTTTTTATAAAGATTGTGTCTCATTTACGGGGGAAAACGTTAAAAAAAACTGATTTGGTATTTTTTAAATTTTTGTATATGTAAGTTATATTTAAAATATTATATAGCACGCCCATGAATTGCTCCCTAACAGAGAATTCTGCCCCCCCCTCCCTTTCGGATGCTCCGTAGCTACAAAATGGATCGACGTACTGTACTAAGTTACCATTTATCTAGTCTTAAAAACCTAGAATGTTCTTAGTCTTAGTAATAACAAATACCATACCAGATGTAGGAAAACATGTTGCTAAACTACAGTGAAAATTAAAGAACTGTCCATAGATGTTGCATTTCCAATGCAAATAATAGTAATTTCAACAAAATAATACATTTTTTGAATAAAACTATATAAAAATGTTTTCTCTATAATCTCTCGTTTGCTTAACTTACTTTATTATGCATATGTTACGGTTAAGGTCCGATATTCGGTTAATATCAACATTACACGGTTAATCTCGAAAATAACACAAAACAAAACCAAACCCAAACACTAACCTGTTAGTGTCGACATTAACCGGACTGCGGACATTAACCGTAACACATACATTACCTGTAACACAGTTGTATATAGGAATGTCTTTCGTTTTAACACTGGCTATCCTCCAAGCGGACACGATCATTAAGTTGATGACGATATCTACTGGTACCAAGTCAGCTTTTTTCTCTTTTTCACATAGCATCGTCCTAAATATACCTTTTCCTACAGCGGCGATAATACCTAGAAGCAATAACAAATCCATATAAAATCAAAAATGTTTTTTTCCACGATAGAGTAAATATAACTGTTTGTTATATCAAAATTCAAGTTTTACATACAGTAAATCTAAAGAAATCAAATTTATTTGAAAAAACAAAGTTGCTCTCTCCTATGTACTTGCGAGTATACTTTTCGCTAATAGTTTTATTACAACAGTGAAATTTATTATAATCAAGCTTGAATTTAAATTCTTCCTCTTCTTTAAATACCGTCTCCTAACGGAGGTTGGCAATCATGATGGCTATTTTGATTTTAATTGCGGCTGCCCTAAATAATCCATTCGACGTCATTCCATACCATCCTCTGAGGTTCTTCAGCCAGGATGTTCGTCTTCTGTCCCGACTACGGCCTCCTTCGATTTTTCCTTCCATAATATTCTGGAGCAATTGGTATATTAAATAATACCAATAAAATAAAAGATAAATACCAATTATTGCTCCAGAATTTAAATTTCAATTGTAAAAAAATGTCACCGTCGAGTTTGCGACAAATATGATAATTTGATGATTTAAATACCGTTAACGACAATTAAACAATCAATAATGCAATACAAATTATGTGCAAATTAATGAATATTAACGTGCTTTTTACATATAAAGGATACCAATTAAACTTTTAGTTACGTAATCGAGGGCGCGTTTCTTAAATTCATTGTTGCCAACCATGGACATATTCGGCGACGCGCCGGCGCCGCCGCCGGACTGACTAACTGAAATTTAAATTTCCTGCTGGGAATTCAGGTGGTAGCTCTGCTGTCAAAAATGCCAAGTTACCACATTTATTTATTTCTTGACATTGTCATTCGTTTTGACACTTTAGTTTTGTATTACGAGTTTTTGGTTTAAATGGTTGAAAAGTATCACAACCAAAAGTATCACAACCAAAATAAATTTTGGTTGTGATACTTTAAGCTGTTAACATTGTTGTTTTTAGAACCTCTTTTAGTGCGAAGTGTATAAAGATGGCTTAATAGCCGTTGCAAAAAACTCATAGCAACCTTATTAAAATATTTTGAATGGGAAAACGGTAGTAATGGCCCTTTATGCCCTTTAAGCGCTGTTAAGGAGGTGAGTTTTGTTGATCTAAATAATAACTGTTATATAATGGAAAATAAATTTCTTGCAGTTTTTAGGTATATAATAAAATTATATAAGAGTTTCTTGCCTTGAACTGCTAATATAGAAATTAATTCCACGCTGTGTTCGACATATGTGGATCAACCTGCTCTCACTACCGGTTTCGGGGCCCTACCCCATCATCAGGTGAGCTTGGGTCGTTTCCACAAAATGTCGAGCACAGCGCAGAGTATATAAACACGACTTGTCGTAAAGTAGCGGTAAGATATTAAGTCCCGCGCCGCGAGATAGCGGCCTGCGTGCAATGGTAGTACTTTCGTACCACCGAGGCACAACTATCGACAGTTCAAGGCAAGAAACTCTTATATAATTTTATTAACCTAAAAACTGCAAGAAATTTATTTTCCATTATATAATTTGAGCTAGCCGAAAAAAGCCTTTATTTACTATCGATAGTTGTGCCTCGGTGGTACGAAAGTACTACCATTGCACGCAGGCCGCTATCTCGCCACGCGGGACTTAATATCTTACCGCTACTTTACGACAAGTCGTGTTTATATATTCTGCGCTGTGCTCGACATTTTGTGGAAACGACCCAAGCTCACCTGATAATGGGGTAGGGCCCCGAAACCGGTAGTGAGAGCAGGTTGATCCACATTATGTCGAACACAGCGTGGAATTAATTTCTATATTAGCAGTTCAAGGCAAGAAACTCTTATATAATTTTATAATAATAACTGTTTATATATTTATAATTTATTTTTGTTTCCTAAAATATTTTAATTAAAAGAAAATATGTAAAAGTCAGCAACGCTGTGCAGGTCAAGTTTAATCGCGCGATTTAAAGTTTATTTCGTATGATCTACAGAGTGTTACTTACCAGTTGGACCGTTCCAGTTATCCACCCACCCCTTCAAAGGCCCCTCCATACTGCTCAGCACTATGCTAGGCCTCACGATGACCAGTGGTAAATCGCCTTTATTTTCCTTCAACCAGCACTCGGCCAGCGCCTTGGTGAACGTGTAGGTGTTGGGCCGGTTGCCTACGATTTTGGGCGTGAGCGAATCGACCAGGTCCTCGTCCAGGGCCTCTACGAGCGAGACGATTTGGTCTGGACCGATGGGAGGGGGGTAGATCATTTCTTTAACTTCGGAACGGTCGCAGTTGCAATACGCCGTGGAAACGTGGATCTGGGAATAAGGAAACATTTAGTCACTCAAAAATTTTAGTAAAATTAATCAATTTTCAATTACTTTATTTTTTTACAACTTCAAGGTATAAGGTAAATAAATCTGATAATAGTAGCTTACTTCGGGATTACCGATTCTGAATAGTTCTAGAACACTACTGGGCTAATCAAATTAGAGAGGTCACTTGGAAATAAGTGTTGGAAAGCTAATTGTTAATTTGATCGGTGCAGTTGACGTGAAAAAGAAAGTCTCCTAGGTTTGAACAGTTGCACGTCCGCTGATCGACTCAGGGGGTCCAAAAGATGGTAAAATTCTTGAACTTTTTTCAGATTTTCGCCTGTAGTTCCGAAATGTTGCGTTCTAATGAATATTTCAGTATTACGCGAATTAAATAGAATTAAATTATCTGTCGAATGAATATACAGGGTGGTCCGAACTGTATTCCGGAAACTTCGGTAGCATATTCAGCAGATAAAAATAAATAAAAAAGTTCGTATAAGTGTATGTCCTAAAGTGCTTAGTTTCAGGGATACAGGGTGTAGAAGTTTCATTTTTATTTCGATATTTTCCAAATAATTTCTGAAGTAAAGTCAATATTTGGATGAAAATAGGGGTCTGGGAGTTCTTTGGCATCAGAAATTTGATTCTGAAATATGTAGGTGGCGCCCCCTACTAGTAGGAGTCATATTGACATCAAAATCAAATTTCTTATGTCAAAAAACTACCAGATACCAATTTTCATCCAAATATTGACGTTACTGGAGAAATTATTTGGAAAAAAACGAAATAAAAATGAAACTTCTACACCCTAAACTAAGCATTTTAGGACATACATTTATACGAACTTTTTTACTTATTTTGATCTGCAGAATATGCTGCTGAACTTTCCCGAATACAGTTCGGACCACCCTGTATATTCATTCGATTCGGTTGTGTAATATAGCTAAAATCGAAAGTTGAAGATGATATTTACCCATTTTGATAAAAAAAAATCCGTTAAATCAAACTACAGAGCATTAAATTGTGGGTTTAACATATACATAATATGAAAATATTCCGAAATTTGCCATAATGCTCTTCAGTACCCAAAAAAAGTATCTTCCCATTCCTTCCACCTCTCTATAAAAATACTTAAAAAGTGCTATTATAGATTATAGATTAATTGTGAGGTAGTCCATTATGTTGCAAGCCTGGACTTCAAGGATTTATTAATTATTATAGAGCTGAACTGAGAGATCACAAAGATGTGCTTTCTCGTATTTTTCTCGTAAATGATCTGGGGCGGAAGCGGCGAGAAGCCTCCGGACTTGTGGCAGATGCTACTTAGCCATATGATTCAGAAACATTGGTTATAAAATTGTGAATAAAAGGTGGTACCAAGAATCTACAATAACTGACGATCGCCAACAAGAACGGGGTTGAAGTTGCGGCCACTAATATATGAGAGGACATAAACGCATGACATGCACTCTGCACTCTTACCCAAGCTGGCTGATTTTTTAAAAGATTTGGATGAAGACATTTCGAAATCTCTGAAGCTTCTTATGCACAATATAGTAACGCTAAAATATAAACATACAGAACGAATTAACACTAAAGTCACAGTTATTTTCCACACGAATCTCCTGGACATTCTGTAGAGCCTTCGATACTGTGACGTAACGCTGTTTGACTCGGCTATCCAATTCGAAGAAGGAATGAATATACCCATCAAAAGCCTTAAAACATTTCGGCAGGGTAAACTGGTCCGGATCTTCATCAGCACGGATATCACTTTATCTTCTCAAAGAGTTTGGTGGCTTGACGACGATTCTTCTAGCGAAGTAGCATCTGCTACTAATCCGGTGGTATCTCTCCGCTTCTCCCACGAAATCGCTCACAAGAGAAATACGACAAAGCACATCTTTATCTTCTCTCAGTTAAGCTACAATGCTTAAAAAATCATGATAGTCAGGTTTTCCATAAAATCGAAACTATCTGGCAATTAACATGTATCTATAATACCACTTTATAAGTTATTTCACTTGGGGCACTGAAGAGCATATTACAAGTTTCTGGACTTCCTCCGATTGCTGACTTATCCGATACGAGGGTGACATATCACCTTCATGTATAACAACATATATTAAAAGGTTGAGTCTTAAGGGTGAATTTTAAAGTGTGTAGAATTGAGCCACAATAGGCCCTTGCGACCACAGTGGAAGGTCCCACCTAGGACCCACTTTTAGTATCTAAGTACAATACAATACAACAAACAGGAAATAAGTACTTACCAATGCTTCTAAATTTGGCATCCTCCTACACAATTCGACCAATCTTTGTGTACCGAGCATGTTTATCGTTACGGAAAGCTTCAATTTTTCGTCAAACTTGACAGTGGCGGCGCTGTGAAACACTACGTTGACGGACCGGATAAGAAGCTCTCTATCGCTTTGACTGATTGCCAGTTCCGGTTGCGTTATGTCGCCCTCTATCGGTTGTACTTTAAACAAATCATTGGGCCGTTCTTTTCGTATCAGGTCGAACAACTGAAATAAGAATTAAAGGAAATATTAAATGTTTTTCTACACATAATATACAACTAAATTGATTGAAATTGGCAATACTATGTTAGAGGATTTTAGGATTAGTAATTGGTACTGATGCTGAGACAAATAATCAATCGAAAATTTTTAGCAAATTACTAAAATTTAATTGCTGTTAGTAAGAACACTTTTTCACACGTTTCACTTCAAATATGCGCTGACAAAACTGAGTACCTTGGATGTACTTTGGTCTCTTCAAATGTATTATTTTTTTTCAAATAACAAGTCATATGACTATACTATAAAACAGGTTATTTTATAAGTAAATCAAAACATTTCTAGAACCGCTGTTTGATAACAAAACTTATTTCGGGTACAATATCCCAAAATATAAACGAACTAAATTAAACTAAAAAAATGCGGTTTGCCCGAATACTTCATCCGTTACAAAGTAGCCTATAAATTATTATTAAAGGACGGAAATTATATTAAACATACACAACTATTCATGAACGTCCAGCAGCAAGAATTACTTAATGTTTCAAAGGGTATAGACCGCCAAATAGCCATGACGTTGACCTTATATAAAACTTTACCTCTATCATTTATCATCCCGATGGCGTCTTTAAATCTAATAAATTATATTAAGTCCAAGTCATACCACTATTATTATATATTTTCTATAAACTCATACGCTACCCTAATATACCACGGTAAATACCAATTTATCTAAATACACCAAAAATTAATTACACTATACATAATAATATACAGGGTGTTTCAAAAAACATGTGCCGCATCTCTTGTGGAGAGATTTCTCGCGTAAAAATAAGATTTATTTTTATATCAACATAGGTCCGATTCTGCTTTGTTTCGTAGCTACAGGGTGTTAAAGTCTTCATTTTTATTGATTATTGATTATTATAATTTTCTTCCAAGTGTTTTTAGCGATTCGAATGAAATTTTGAGGTTAAAAGTTACTATAAGTGCGACATATTTTAATGCAATAAAAGTATTGAAATATTCACCAGGGACGTGCATATGGGTTATCACTGAAATATTTTTCTAAAAAAACATGTGCGCCACTCACCTTTTATTCTCTTGTTAGCAAAATTGTGTAGACCGTTTAATGCCGATTAAAAGTTGTCTTTTCATATTTTGTCGATTTCTATGTATGTATTTTAATGATTTACAATTTTATAAAATAATTCCTTTTATTAAAAAATATTCGCTTTGTCACAAAAAAACATACCTTTCTAAAATATACATGACATAAAAGTGCAAGTAAACTATTCCATTCTTTTCTGTTACAGTATCTACTATTTAAAAAATATGAATTTTTTAACTTTTTTAATAGAGCAAATCAGAAAAAAGTAACGATTAGCAATACTCTGCGAATGCAAAGTTTCTTAAGATCAACTGCAATCTACAAGGCCATAAAAATCTAATAATACTTTGTAATTAGAACGATATTTTTATAGAATTGAAAGGAAATATTATTGATTCTTAACGATTAGCAATACTCTGCGAATGCAAAGTTTCTTAAGATCAACTGCAATCTACAAGGCCATAAAAATCTAATAATACTTTGTAATTAGAACGATATTTTTATAGAATTGAAAGGAAATATTATTGATTCTTTATTAAAAAATGTATATAAACAGTATTTATAATATAATTGCATAGATGAATAATGATCTTCTACAAAGTCGCCTACTCACACAGCAATCAACAGTACCATACGATAAAAAAAGGCGTCAAAGACGGCAGGGGAATGACAATCGATGGTAATTTTGGCGAGTCCAGCCCTAGGAGTCATTACGTAATTTATTTTTGTATTGAGTAAACATTATTTTTAAATGGTGTAGTTTAAAATTAGGGAAAAAATTAGCGCCGGGAGGCACGTATAACCACCCATACTAAAATATGTTTATCTTAAAAACTGCGACTTTGATTAATTTTAATGTTATTACAAATTTTGTTGCAGATATTATTCCTAATCTTAAATTGAAAACCGCGCGTTTCGCTAGCTACTGTAATTTTGGAGTTACGATTTTTTAAAATTTTTAACCCCCTACCATACCCCCTAACCAACCCCCCACCCCCACCAAAAACTAATGGCCAAATTCTCGGGTGCCACAGTATTTTGTGCCAAATTTGGTTAAAATCGGTTTAGCGGTTTTTGAGTTATCGTGTTACAGACGGACAGACGGACAGCCAAACAATAGACTTTTTTTAGATCCTCCAATAGACTCTAAATATCAACTTCAACAACAAGTTTCGACTCAAAAGACGAGAATTGATTTTTATCCTAAAAATAGCAAACTTACATATACAGGGTGTAACAAGAATGATAGGGGTAGTTTATTTCAACACCTTCCACTCATTTTAAAAAAGTGAGAAAATTACCAGAAAGTATGTTTTCATAACAGTAATGCTTCCATAAAATTTCATTAGTCTATCGTTTTTCGTTTTCGAGATAAAGAATAAAAACATTATTTTTCCGCCATCTTTGTACCGCGATATCTCCCTAATGGTTGACTTTTGACCCAACGTTTATAAAGCAAACTACCCTTTATTTTGAACAAGGAATCACCCCCTGAAGTTTTTCGCATTTGTTTTGAAACACCCTGTATAAACGTAGCTCGTCATAAGTTTAAAAAGTATTAAGAAGGAACTTATCATAAAATTATTCGGAATTTAAATAAGAAAACCCGACCGTCAACGAAGAAAGACGAAAAGAAAACAACAGAAAATGAGAAAAGAATACAATGTCAGTTTTCTACTTTTTGACTCCCCAAGTTGTAATCGCGTTTGGGAGCATGTTTCAGTTAATCTGATTTTCTGGCGACTTAACGTCAGGGCAAGGGCCTTTAAAAAGATTATAAAGCATGCAAGTACGAAAAAGAAACACCCGTTCTTAGAGTAATTCGATTTGCCTCCCCCATTTGTCACCAAAGGCGTACAAATTGGGATAATTTTATTAATTAATCTATGCCGGGTGTTTTTCAAAAGTAGCTCACCCCCTATAACTTTTTTATTTTTTCAGACAAAAAAACGAAGTTTGGTATGTTAGTATATGACATAAATCGGGATTGACTGACGTATTCAATTATTATTGGTCACTTCCTGGTTCACCGAAAATTACTATCTTTGATTTGAAATGGCACCGGTATTTTTTATACAAAAGTTGACATATCATATGTCAACTTTTCACATTTTTGAAGTGAAACTTCTTACTCTAACAGCTATTAAATTGAAGGATTTGTAGAACATGCCTGAAAAAGTGTAGTTTGACATTTGAAATATTGAAAAAGTAATAAATTAAAAATTAATAAATAATTTGATCCTCTGTCACAAAATTGGTATTAAAATGACCGTCTGTCCGTCTGAAGACTCCATTCGGGTAGCTCTATCCACGTACCGAGTTTGGTTCCAATCGATCCGTAATTAAGAAAAATCCTGATGATTTCGTCCATTTCAGGGTTTCTTAAAGTGGGGTCCATAGCATATGTATCAGGGGTCCGCGGTCCGCATTACGTCAGTTAACTGTAAACATATTTATTAAGAAAATAAATAGTGTAGTGCGGCGAATTCAGTAGGTATTTAATCACTTAGCACTACGCGATACGCGTAAGGATCAAAAAAACAAAGTTGAAGCTGTTCCCTTATCAAACGTTGTTATTCATTCTAGATTTTTTGAAATGTCGTCAAATATTTTACAAGTTGATGAAGAATTAATTGCTTCATCGTTTCCATTCAGCATTCAATTGGATGAAAGCTCCGATGTATCACAATCGGTGTCAACAATATAACGGTGTCATATCGGTGACATCACAATATAACTCTTGGTATTTGTCCGTTACGTACGACAAGACACACGTAGTATTAAAGAAGAGTTCATTTTTTGCAATTCACTTTTGGAGACTACAAAAGCTTCAGCTGTTTAAATGACAAAATGGTTTTTCATAAATATCAATATAGACTGGAAGACTAAACTTGGTAGTATCTGCACCGATGAAGCTCCCGCAATGCTTGGAAATACGTCTTGTTTCGCGGCTTTGATCAAGAAAGAGATTCCTCATGTACAACTCATATACATAACTCATTGTGTCTTACATCGGCATGTTTGACTTCACGGACTTTACCTACATTTCTGAAGGAAGTTATGTATACATGTGTCAAAATAACTAACTTCATCAGAGCGAGAGCCTTAAACCACCGCGGCACCGCCTGTTTAATAAGAGTTTGTCAAGAAATGGAATCAGAACATAAAGTATTCCTTTAGTACACAGAAGTTCGTTGGCTGTCAAGGGGACAGAAGAGTTAATTTTTCTAAAAGATAAACGAAATTCACTTTCTGAATATCTTGAGAGTGAAGATTTACGCAGATATTTGGCAGATATATTTACTCAATTGAATGGTAACCATCGTGGATGCATCTGAACGGTTGAAAGGTTTCATATGTAAACTGCCACTTTGGAAAAGGAGGGTGGAATTTGATAACTTTGCAAATTTTCCGATGTTTGATAATAACACAATGTGACGGCAACACGATATCAATAATGCTACAGAAAGAGGTGTCTAAGCATTCGGATACATTGCAAACTTCTTTTGAAGGCTACTTTAACTTAGAATCGCTTGAAAATGAAACGTGGGTGCGGGGTCAATTTATAATCGACAAGGATATTATCAGCGATGAAGATCTCATTAAAGATGACTTAATTGACATGAGATCAAAAGAAGTTTTAAAAGCTGAATTTCATGCAAAAGATCTGGGCGAGTTTTGGTGTTCTTTACATCAAGCTTACCCTCTTCTTGTCGAGCGAGCTATGTCCGTTCTGATACCATTTGCTATTACGTACCTTTGCCGGGGCAGGGTTCTCGATTCTGGTCTCAATAAAAACAAAAAGTCGCAACCGATTGAACGTAGATCATATGCGCCTTGCCTTGTCGAAGATAATCCCACAATATAACGTTCTCATTGAGGCTAAACAGCACCA